GCTTCATTTTAAGGAATGAACGGCATGATCAAGCCTACTGATGTTACTTCCAGGTTGACAACGACCACCAAAGCAGCATATCTATGCTGCCATGATTGTGAAAGTGTAAATGTTTCAGAGCATAACAATACCACCTCAAGGCTGGGACAACTTTGAGCCCTTAGGATACCATATACATACACTGTTGTAAATAATGTCTGCTTCACACTTATAATTTTCTGAATACCTTAACCACAACACAGTAGCTGCAATCATCCAGACGTAAGCAGAAAAATGACAGTGCCAATGTAGAACTTAAAAACAAACTCTGGCAATTAAGCAGAAGTAGATATCCTGTGCATAGTTCTGTATTTCTCATATACATCAGAAGCATGCTGATTTCCCCCCCACAACCGAGATTTGAGGTAGGTTATATACGTAGTGCGACGCAACCTCAGATTGCAGCCTTCTTCGTTATAACATCATCAATTTATCTGGGATAGAGAGAATCTTTCCTTTCAAGGCCTTCTTTTAAATCAAACATGTATGTGAGTGGGTCTGTCTGTAATTGTTTTATAATAGGTGTGTTGTGGAAACTGTCTCAAATTCTGATGGCATTCACATATTGTTGTAAACCAAGAATTAAGCCCATTGAATTCCAACAATTGCTATGGATTTAATACTGACATTACCAGGATCATATGGTATATAGATTGCCTACACCTTGGTCAACTAATTTAATTATTAAATACATGGTTCAGAATAATGGGTCAAAGAACCATATATATATTCCTGGACTAAAGCTCTTAAATTCAGTCTCTGCTGAAGCACATGAGGATTTTGCTTTTGGCTATAATTTCAACATAGACTAGTGACTTCAACTAAGCCTTGAATGTAAAAGGAGATAATAATTTGGTCCTTCATAATTTGTGTATAAGTGAAACAAGGAAAAGTTCTGGGCTTTTTATTAGGTCCTCCTCTTTCCTCTGTTCCTGTTGTGAAAAAATAATGTAAACAGACACAGGCCAGACATGGAAGCAGTCACAGGTCCTACCCTGTTGCCACCTCCTGAGATAGCACCTGGTTCTTTAAGAGCCCCAGAAGAGGAAACATCGGTCTGCCTTTAAAAAAATGTCTCCCTTCCCTAAAGATCTTAAAGGCAATCATCTCCTGAACAGAAAGTTGTAACCCCAGGGAAATAATATGCAAAAACTGGATAGATCTAAGAAATTTTTCAAACAGAAGCTTACAAGCTTAACAGGATTTCCAAAGGTCAGATGTATTGTCACGTCCCCCAAAACGAAGCTGTTCCCTTCCTGCATGTATCACAATTTCTTGCTCTCTAAAGTAATCTGAATGAAACTTCCAAGGCACCCCTGCAACATCTTCAAACTAGGGAAGTCAAATGAGACACTAACAAAGAATTCAGACAAGCAAAAAAAAGAACACACAGTGTCCCCCCCCACCGGCCCCAACAATTGAGATTTCTTGGGAAAATTTAGGCCCACTTTTTAAATAATTGCAGCTGGCTAAAGGACCCGTCCCATCTCTGTCAATGACAAGTGACCATTAAATTGGCCTAGACTGGAATCTGCAGAGATTTAACGAAGAGCTTGCATATATGTTCAGATAGAAGCCTTCTGAGACTTTACCAGTTTTAACTGAAGGTGTGGGGGGGTGTCATTGTAGAATGCTCAATACAAGAAGCCTCCCTGCATGTAAAAAAAAATAACACAGAAGGCTAGGCTAGAACTGTCTTCACTTACTTTTTACATACAGAAAGTTTTATTTTTTATTCTTTTAAAACTGTAAGGAAGCCTTTAAAATGTGATTCCCCTCCACCTGCAGTTTGAAGTGGTACAATTTAGACAGGACTGTATCACATGACTTAGCTAAACGTGGCCGCTTGGCCTTCTGCAGAACACCATGGAATTCAGTGGCTGATTTACACCAGTGGAGGATTAGGCCCTGAGTGGTTGCCTTCACAACTGTTCTGTGACCTAGGAATATTACCTATAATCTGACAGACTAATTCTTACAACTGCAATATGCTCATGGGTATCTATACAAAATCAATAATCATTCATTTTCCTTGCCAAATATAAGGAACTTTATAGAATACAGTAAAAGAAGGAAAATTAAATGAAGGACGGACAAAGCATGTTAAATATTTTGTCTCTATTTACATTTCTCCCGCAATAATCTGTTTTAAAACATACTGCTCTTCAAGTTATTGGGTATTTTTTTCTTTTAAATCTTGGTGAAAGTGCTTTTTTTAAAAAAATCTTTCTCTATTTACAGTTTAAAATCAGAACCACATAAAACGCCCAGGATGCTGTATAGAGAGATCCTGTTTTTCTGTGCCGGTGCGCTAAGATTGAGAAGGTTTTCTAGTAAACAAATGCTATGTACAGTTTTTCATTTGCAAGCTGTCTCTTTCTCAAAAGGCACCTGTTAAGTGCAGAAGGTGACCAAGTGTTATAATCCAGTTTCGAATCTTGAACAGGTTTTTGCTCTTGTGGCCTTCTGCACTACTGAGAAACCACACACACACAAGCTCCTCAAAGCCAGTGGGATTTGCTCTGCTGAAGGAGTCAGACCTCCATTTTTCTGCAGAAAGTCCTGCAGAAAAAGATGGCAATAGATTCTTACCTATTGTCACTAGAGTTGCCATCATCCAATCTGAAGACAGCCCCCATTTCAGATTGCAGAGATGTTTTGATGGGGCCACCTCCATATTGGAAGTTTCCATCCTTTGAAAGTCAACCGGGATTTCCCAAAAGGATTTGATAGGAGCACCTTAAGTCCATTAGGAATTTAATTTTTTAGGTCAACATATTTCCGGTATGAGTGAAATTCACACAGTTTAAAGAAGACCTATACACCCAAAGTCCCTCTCACACACATCAATCTATTACCATTCATTTCTATCAATCAATCTTTCCCATTAGGATCATAACTGATTTAAACTAAATGTGATCCCCAAACTGGTTTGGTGTGGTTTAGGTGGTATGAGATGTGAACTGGAGAAAATTCCACTGTAATGTAAAGATAACCATTGTAATTTTAGTTAATCACAACTTCTCTCCAAGTCTTCAAATAGGTCTAGCCACTTATGTGAATCAACATTCCTAAGACAACTTGCACGATTGAGAAGGGTGGGCTGCTTTAAAAATTGTGATTCAGAGTTTTAAAAGCACCAGCTGTGTTGCATTAATTTGACATCACATAATTGTACATTTTTCCTTAAAAAAACCCAAAATGGCACCAGAAAAAAATCAACTTACAAGAAGCTGCTTGATTTCATTTTTGCATCTGAAAATGTCCACTTGCAAGGAGAGGACATTTTCATTTGGTAAGCATGCACCAGTGGAAAACGCAGTGCAAAGAAGATCAACTGAGTCCTTCTTTCTCTTAAACTCTGCACCAGAGATGATAAAAACAGGCCACAACCTCCCCACCCCAGGATGATCCTTCCAAACTTTGTTTTTGGGGTGGTTTCTGAAAGATACAGTAGTTCATCCTGAGATTTTTGTTTTTTCAATGTCTCATTTACATCTTTTAGTGCTATAGAACAGAAGGATACAGACTGATATGGACCATAGTCTGAAATAGCCCCAAACCAGCTTTTGTCTCCTCTGGGGGAATTAGTTTACAGGCTTGACAGGAATATAGAAGTTGCTAAATGCAGTTGTGGGAAGGCAAACAAGGCTATTTTCTCTGTATCTTACTACTGCATTCTTCCCACAGAATAAGACAAAGAGAAACATTACCTGGACCCGGTGCACTCCTTTAAATGTTGTTTGATATGGCCTGCATTCTACATGGATTTCTCCCCACCCCCCAAATCCACCTTTTCTCCCTCTCGTTGACTCCAGTTTCTAAGTCATTTCTCCTTTTTTCCTTTATATGAATTTAATAGGATTCAAGTGTTGATGGAGAAAAAAACTGAACTAGCTTAATTTTAGGCACATCATGCTATCTTTTTTTCCACTCATAACCTTTTCACAAGGTTTATTTTTGTATTTTTCAAATCTCACTTCAAATCTTCAGGCTAACAAACACCTAAGCCTGGTCAAAAGAGGTGGGTTCACATCCACCTTAATTCCATAACTACTGTAACGTGATAGCCTCATTACCAAACTTGGTTCAAAATCATTTTGCGCTAGTTCCCTATTGTGATTCAAGCATCAACATGCATAAGCCACATTCATGTTAACACTCAGTCCCTGACAGAGGGCACAGTCTCTGAGATACAGAGGCTTCAGTTGGGTGTGTGTGTGTGTGGGGGTGCAGTGGGCAGGGGAAACATCTCTCTGTTCCTTGGTTTTACAAGGAGTGAATGATTCTGACAAGGAGTAACAGAAGTTTCTATTGAAATATGGCAAAGATGGAAAAGGAAGTCACTACTTAAATATAATTCATTGTCATCATCTCCACCAAACCTCTTCCTTCCCTGCAATGATCTACTGTATCTGTAAGAAACGTTCAGGCAGCAAATTAAGCACCCCATTTTATTACAATATATATATCTCCAATTAAAAGTATGCATTTTCGGGTGGTCTCCAAGGCTGAGATTTCCACCAGCACAGAAGTGAACTGTACAGATTTTTAGCTGGTTTAGTATGGGGTGGGGCTTATTTTTGCCATTTAAAACTGCTTTAGAACTGTAATAACATTTTGTTAAAAATCCAATAAATATGTACTTGAAATGGAATTTAAAAGCTTTCCTTTGTGAAAGGACACTATAAATTTCTCTTTCTATTCTTGTGATGAACAAGGATAGATTTTTTTTCCTTAAAAATGCAGAGATATAAATATTGGATTATTGGAAAAAAAATGTTAATAGCAATAAGTTTCTTTAACTTGACTTCTAAGTGTAGATCTCAGAAATGCCGCACTTGGCTAGATTTCATTTGTTTTCTCTCTGACATCTGCTAGGAAAAAGCACCACAAACCAGCACTGTCTTCCAGTGCTGCAGACTTTGAGGTAAGATGGCCATATGTGAGTGGTATTCTTCTCAGATCCAGCGACTGTACGGTCCAGTTACCTTGGTATAGGCGTAAGAGGACACAGTGATAGCAGAGTTTGTTGGAATGGCCAGGGCCTGCCGTGTTGGGACAGAATCCTTTTTTTCCTTGTGTTGGGGCTCTGCAGCCAGGCCACCTCCCCATTTCCGCTTCTTACCAAAGGCTTTGATGTCCTGCTGAGGGCCGAGCCTAGCCGCCTCCTCTTGCCTTGCCCTTGCTCTCTCTGCCAGCTGTTTCATTTTTGCTTCCCAAAGGGCAAGTCCGTGATTGGGCTGGTTCAAGTTCTTGTGCTGGTAAAATACCAGAGAGATACGTGTGGGATGACACCGGTTGGGCTTCTTCAGAGGGGTGGTGGCATGCAGCTCTCGCCTCGCGCATTCAATGAGGATAGATCCATGGGCTGGAGCCACTGCCACCCCACCAATGTTTTCATCTAGGAAGTTGTGTTCACTATCTGACCATACTTCCTCCCCCTCCTCTTCTTCCTCCTCCTTGATGCTCTTGTCAGCTGACTCTTCCATGCTGTCATCTAAACCAAAAGGGTCCCAAGGGGGCCTCTCTTGGTGACCAACACCTGGCAATGTCGCACTGCCCTCTGCTTTCAAGGAAGCAAATGGCTTCTCTCCACACACACCCGATGCCATAGTTGACAAGGAACCAAAGGAAGTCCATGGTCTATTGTGTAATCCAGTGCCAGGTGTTGGAGTTCTCCTGTCATCCATTTTGGAAGAACCCCAAAGCTCCTCTTGAAGCCTTGAGCTTCCCTGGGTGGACCCAAAGTTCAGTTGTCCAAGGTTCCATGGTTTCTCCTGAAAATTTGAATTTGCTGAGCTGGAAAATGCCAAAGAATTTTCATTGGCTTTGCAAGGGCTCCATGATTTCCCAAGCACATCAGGGCCAAGTGGCAGTGGCTGCCCTTCTCCAGGAAACAAGTTCCACTGTTTCTCCAGTAGATGGGACTGTGGTAACCTGGTAGTGTTTGAGTGGGAGCTGAAGAAATTTGATTTATTCTGTGTGTTTGCACTGAGCACACCAGTACTTTCACTAGGCGTAAACATGTTCCACGGG